TCTTTGTATTAAATAGGGAAACTTGTCGGTCATACATAAAAAAGGTTCGCAGACCAAACGGATGTCACAAATCTCTTAGTTTGTAGGATTGGGTCTATCGCCGAGGTTTACACTTATCTTTCGGGAGGGTGTAATATTTGCGATGTCAGACACGATTATGCAAACTATTGGACTAATGGGATCCATTTGATCTCATTTTTCAAAAATTAAAACATACTGCTTTTAAAACTCAAACTATATATCTATGATATTAAATTAAATTTCAAAAATTATTTTCACATGACATATTTTCAAATCTATCGAAAAAGTTGACCGACAACATTGTGGATCATGAAAGCCAAGGAGTTGAATCATATTAACAACTTCTTCTAAAAGGCCATGAAGAAAGCCATTATGATGCGGAAGTGGTCCCCTTAGGATTGGAACGGGCTCCTTTCCTGTGAGATCTCAAAAGTGGATTTTTTTCATCTATTAGTTTTGGTTGAATAATGTGGGCCCTCAATTACCTTACTTTTAATTAGAATTTTGGTTTAGTTTATTCTTGAGTATAAGTATTGATTGGGACCTGATTTTATAACTTTTTCTTAAGTTCATGCATTTAGAGGTTGTAATCTCTAATTTCTAGGAGTGTTTTATCCTCTTCATTATCCAAGTGGTGTGTTTGTAGCTTATTTGATGGATCATCCTTGACGACCGTATCTCACCAGTATCACTGCCATGCTTTGTTCTGTTGATTTCAGTTAGGACAACATCTTGAATGAATTTTCCTCTCTCCAAATCTCCTTATTTCCTGTAATCCTTAATTATTCATTCTACCACCTTCTCAATAAACACCTCAATCCCCAAACACTTGGAAATTCTCGAAAGAAGAGGATTCAATGGTTGGAAATTCTAGAACGATGTTATTTTATATCAGAGCTAAACAAATCTTAAATCTTTAGGGATTTCTTTTTCCCCACTTCTAAACCTAAAATCTATATAATCGAATTCATCTAACCCCATCCTTCAACCCCTAAATCTCACCCAAACCCTATACAACCCTCTCTTTCCAAGTCAAAACCCTAATTGGGAGAAAGATAAACCTTGTATTCGAGGAGAAACATGCAAAGAGGTTCAAGAGCGTATAATGGAGGACATGTAAATGGAGATCCTTCAATTTCAACAAAGGCTTCTCCTTTGAGAGGAGACAGCTCGAAAATATCACTCATAGCCATCATTTGACTCATCGGATTGGGGAAGAAGTTAACACTTTCCACTAGGAAGTTTTCAATGATGAAAAATTAATGCCCCGATGATTTAGCATTAAATATTGGAGGAGAGATGATGACTTTGAAGTGAATATCAACCCGCATATTTTGATGATTGTTTGGATCTGGGTGAATTAGTGGTCTAACTGTACGAGTGGTATAATTGTAGCTGTTGAATTTGGTCTGATCAAGACACAATCAAGGATGGTATTAGAGTAGCGAGACCAAATGAGCGAAGCTTCGAACTTTTATTATTCATGGGTTGAGAACGAGAGTTAGAATTTGAGCTTGAATCTCCCATTATTCTTCAACAGCTCAATGATATAATGGTTGGCTATTAATTGACTAGTGGAATGAATTTTGAGTATAAGGACATTCCCTAGGATAAGTGAGTCAAATTGGTAGCCATTAAGCTCATTAAGATCACTTTCCTGTGGTGAGAAAATCGGAAGCGTCTTCGACAATGAGAATAGAAGAGTAAGATCACCACATGACCTAAGGTAAAGAGGAAGATGCTTCACAAATACTCTTTCACATTACTGACAAGACATTCCTAAAACTCTATAATCAACACTGGAGAGATTCTTTTGTGAATAGTATATGATCGAATTTCATCAACTCATGCTAAAATATAAGTTGTTGGATCCAGATGAGCATACAATGGCGAGACATTTTAGGGCGAGACATTTTAGAGGGTTGAAGCCATCCTATCTGTAGTGTGGTGCAGTTTCAGCTTTATTAGTCCCTAGTCAATGTACAAACCTTAGCTTTAAAGGTAGAAAAACAACATTTTCACTAAAGGTCACCACACCTTGTAGGCGAAAGCAGTATGACCCGTACTTAAGATATGTTTGAATGACTATTTTAAAGGCTTAATATACTCTAGCTAGACCATTAAGGGTATAAAGGATGATATATTCATGATCCAGAGGAGATCTAGAGATTTGAAAACAGCAATGGCATCCACTTTGCTTTTTATTTCAAAATTATATTGCATCATATGTTTTTTCTTCATATTGACATAGTAGAGTTCATTTTTTGGCTTAGTGATTTGTGATCGATTGGTGGATTGCAACCAATGCTCAATGGTTGTTCAAATATCTATACAGTGATCAAAATTAAGAATATATGGTAGAAGAGAAGGAGAGATGTTGGAGTGTAATGCTGTGGCATTATTTTTATTTATGAGCATCCAAGTGTTGTAATGTGGATTATGATAGAATGTGGCTTCAGCATTTTTTCTTTGAAAAGCTTTAAGATTTGAGATTTCCATGTAGGGTGGTTTTCAGTGGTAAGTTGAAGATTGATAACAATTTTTATGTTTGACCTAATAAATCTCAATTGAGGAATAGAAACGTCACCCATTTCCAGTGGAGAAAAAGGATTAATGGACGAACCTATAGTGGATGAACCTTCCAAATTTTTGGTTGCATTGGCTTCAAAACTCTGATACCATGTAGAAACAGAGCACAAACACAAAGATAAAACATAGCAGCTAGGGAGAGCTCATCATAAACCAATCTTTCATCTTCCAGTATTTTCTTTTCTACAGTATTACAGTGGTATTTCAACAAGAAATGCAAGCTTTGGGAAACAGAACCTGAACCTGAACAACAGCCATTACATATCAATGATGAAGACAAATTATGCTATTAGAGATCTATGGGAAGGATGCAAAAAGATGAGGTTAGTGACTGCTCTTGATGTAGGCTTAATAAAACTGCTGCTTAGTTTTTATTCAGCACACATCACTTGTCACATGAACAATATGAAACCCTAGCCTATCCTAAACTTGTTTATTTAACTTTGAGCAGACTTAAGTTTGGCCTATTCCATGGCAGAGAGCTGAGCCACATAGCTTTGACTTTAAGTTTTGGGTCATATCTGCTGCCGGGACCTGACAAAAAAAAAGTCGCCTCAGCTATCAGAGTTTATTTAGGCTTATCTGATAATTATTTTCTATGCATATTTGGGTACACAGTGATATGATCAACAATTGTTTGTCTTTTGTTGCAAATCTATTTAATGACAGGCACATTGTTTCATGATCATGAGTCAATTACTGATTAATTTATTTAATTTAAATTATTTTCTATTTTTACTCTAGTTGTTTAATCAATTTGGTTTTATGCCAAGCAGGTTTACCATGGAAGCTATACATTTATTGAGAGGTTTGATGGAGAAATTTAGAGATAATAAGGAGGATCTACATTTGATTTTTATGGATGTAGAAAAAGCTTGCGATAAGGTTCCATGAGATGTCATTTGGAGCGTTCTTAAGAAGAAAGGTGTTGATATGGCTTATATTCAAGTCAGTAAAGATATGTATGGTAGAGTTGTTACTTGTGTTAGAACTGAAGGAGGATTGACCAAATATTTTCCTACTTCAGTTGTATTACATCAGGGTTCAGCTTTAAGCCCATGTCTTTTTGCTTTAGTTATGAATGCTCTTACCAGACATTTATAGGAGGATTGGAGAAAAAGCCCAGGAAAAACTTGAATTACGGAGATCTACATTGGAGTCTAAAGGCCTTCATTTGAGTAGAACTAAAACTGAATACATGGAATGTAATTTTAGTAGTA